AAATTATACAAGAGTGCAAACACTCTTGTATAATTAAATTTAAAATTTATTTTTAAATAGATTTTAAGATTTGCGTGAACATAACAATAAAAAATATTTAAAAAAGAAAACAATTAATTACAACTGCATAATTTAAATTAAATTGAGTTTTTTTATAAGTAAGATATTTATAGGGATAATAGCAATTATATATTAAATGTTCTTATACGGAAAAATAACTACTTATATAGTAATTATATACGTTCCTATTGATAAAAAATCTTTTATGTTGAAATTCTTTCTAGTTATTTGAGTTATCATCTGCATATTAAACTATTATTTTTTTGAATTGTCTATTAAGTTAACCAAAAAAAAATTGAAATTTTCACGATATAACAAAATAATATATTTAACTGCTAATGCGAAGAACATAGTAGTTTAATTCATTATTCTTAGTTAACTTAAATAACAAATAATTAAATAAATATTTAATTGATTTCAACAATGCAATTTGTAATTAGCTGACAATTAATAGTTGTGTTTCTATAGTTTCTATAGTTATATATATACGAGTATACAAACAAGACACTCAAAATCTTTATAGTATAATTAATATATAATCATTTCATTCATTTATTGTAATGCACACATTTATTTTTATCTCTTTTGAGTTAAACAAGAAACTTGAACATAAATTAAACAAATTTTATAAAGTCTTTAATATATATAAAAATCATATATACAAATTGATCTGGCTCATCCCGTACAAGCACTCTTTTTACAATTTCAACCACCTTCAAATTGATTTTATTTGGTTTTTCCAACCCTGTTCACACGTACTGAATTCAAAACGATCGCGTTGGAGTTTGAGGCTAAATTTGTTCCAGTGTCAAGCATACAAATCTGTAGTATAAGCTTATACTATATTGATATATTTAATTAAAAACAAAAAAAAAAAAATTAATTAATTAAAAAATTCTGTTTTTCAAATTAATTAAAATCAATTACAAAATTTATTTATTTCAATTATTAAATTATGCATAAGTCATGCCAATTGAATTGATATTTCAAATGAACAATCATGATAGGAAAAGATATCGATTGATCGCTGCACTCCTATACATATTTATATAAATATATATATACAATACGTATAGAAACAATTTATTAAATACATATTAAAAAAAGATTGCATATTTTGATGTAAAAAGTATGAAGCTTGCTGGGTACCAAAGAACATTTTTATTAATAATTATTACATATATATATATATATATATTTTTTTTTTTTTTGTTTCATTTCATAATTTAAGCGTTTATATATATATATATGCTCTAAGTATAAGTAATATAACTTATATATAAATATATACGTTCCCTTAAATGCCTTAAATAATTAAAAACCCAGCAAAACTAAATTTGAAGCTAATAAAAGTTTAAATTTTAAGAATTGAAGTTGGGAAAAGTTGCGATAATTACTAAAAATTACGAATAAATGAAGTTCCCAATATGATAAGAAACTTTTTTTTTAATTAATAAATATTTTCATTTAAAGCTTGCTAAATTAAAATTAAAACCTTGAACTGAATATAAAATGAGGGAAATTATTTTAAATGCACTTAGCCCCAAAGCGAATAATTGAAGAAATTAAATTTATTATAATTATTATATTTAATTTGTATATTAAAATAAATATAAATTAACAACAGAATATGATCCAAATTTTGAAATGGTAACACATGTAAATTTACAAAAAAAACAATAAAGGTTAATAAATATATATATAAAAAACATATAACATACAACAAACACACACACACACACACACACGTACACTACATAATAAAACAAATATTTATATAGGTATATAAAAATTTCGTCTAAATATTTTTGATTTTGATTTATTAACTTGTACTTTTAAATAACTTGAAACAAAATCGCAACAATATAATATATAAAAAATTATCTATAATATTTTTATGCATTGAACTCTTAAACTTCATATAAACGTTGTAACTCTTTGTAAAAAATTAAAAAAAAAAAATATTGAAATTGCAAAACCAATGTAAAATATTAAATTAAATTTAAACATATTAGATAATTAATAAATAAAATTACTTTTTTTAATATAAGCTTAAAAATAATATTGATATAATAATATAAAACTGAAGCAAAATTATATCGGAGAAATTGCAATTTAAATAATTATACAAATTTAATAAAGTAATATAACATCAAAATAAAAAAACAAAAAAAAGGAATGATAAAGATCGCTATACAAAACGAATAAATACTTGTTATTTAAATACATATATACATATATTTGTAAATATGCATATATATGTATATATTCAAACAAATATATTATATAAAAATTTATAGCATATAAAATTTATCGCGTGCGTAAGCGTTAAATTTAATTAAAACATCCTCTGTTAATATAATATATATACATTAATAATATATTAAAAAATTTCCAAACATTTTTATAGAAAATATTATAATTGTAAAACACAAAAAAAAATTAAATACTACAAGTATTTGAATTTTAAAATTAAATAAAAATTTAGTAAAAAATTTAAATATTATATATATAATTTATATATATACATATATATATATATATATTATATAAGTATATGTATATTATATTGGGATATTAATGATATTTATATATATAGTATATAATTAAATAATAAATATATATATATATATAATATATATATATATATATATATATATATATGAACTTCTTTTTCAGCTATTTTCATAATTGCAATTATTTTTTTAGCATTGCAACAATAAGAAAAAAACAAATAAAGAAAAACTAAATAAATATATATAAAACAAAAACCAAAAAAAATAAAAAAAATAGGCACGAAATATTAAATAAATTAAAAAATTCATTTTAATAATAATTAAAAACATATTGTTTATTAAGTAAAAACAAATTTATATGAATGTGATTTGAATAACAAATCCTATAGAAATTTTATATTTATTGTATATAATTTAAACAAAAAAAAATTTTTAATTGTGTTCTGTTTAAAGTTTAATTGTTTATAAATTATATATTTTTTTTCTTTTAAAACTTGTCTTTCAGACAAGACAACAAAAATTAAAATTAAAAATAAAAATATATTATGTGCAATATTTGAACATTAAAATGAGTTTAAAAAACAAAAAAAAAATTTTATTTTTCGAACAATAATAAAACGTATTCATTTCTATTAAAAAATCTAAGTCTTTTCTATTTTCTATCTGCATTTTAGGCTTAAAACTATAAGTAATAGAGGAAATTCGATTTGAGGAAATACTCTTAACACATGAATGGAGCACAGTAATAGATCACTAGGTGGTATTGGAAATTGGAAGTTCGACGATGTAATAAAAATAATGGTCAGGGCGAAGGACATAGCAGTCCAGTTCCTCATTCCTAGTTAATTTTGAAATTAATTTTAATTTGAACTCACAAATAAATAATTAAAAAAATATTTGGGTAAATAATAATGGATTTCAATATACGAAACCGTTTGTTAAATAATTCAGTGGTCTCCAAAAGTGTGTTTGTAGTATAACATTATTCATAACTTGCCATTTCTCTAAACATAATGGGCCGATAACATAAATATTGATGATAGATTATTTTGCAAATATTTTTTATTTTGCCTTTATTCATTTTTGAAGGTGGGGGGTAGGGTATGTTTTTGTTTTTTTTGTGCGTTTAATTGTTTTTCGACCACTCCTTCTCACTATAATATTAAGTAATATATGGCAAAAGTGAGTGAAAAATATTAGTATACTTTCTTGGTTATGACTACCTGTTAACGGGTCTTACGCAGCACCTCATATTATACGCATCAGTTGCGTGCGCATACATCAAGTGTACTGTTAGTGTTCCTTCAACTTGATCACCGAAAACTTGGTCTTTCTTTAGATATTTCTCTTTCAAAAGCTGTTTCCAACACTTATTTCACTGTAGCATCAGACACGGCCAGTGGTACTTTATTTTTTTACGAAAATATTCATGCTTCTGTGCCACTTAGAAGCATAGCAGAGTGCTATATACGCTAATTACTTACTGAGCTCATGGCACATTTTTTGGCAGTGGTAATTGCTATTCTTTTGCTGATGCCAATATAGATAAAATTCTGGACAGATTTGAAAATATACTCGCCCATCTCCAGCTCTTTGTTCGAGTGACCACAGTCGACATATTCTTCGTTTTGTTCTCATTCACCGTTAAGCTTATCTTGTGCAGATTCCTTTTTAGATAAAAAGCTGGACATACTTGTATAATACTGTGACTTTATAATGAACACCTTCCCTGCTAATGATGAAATTAAAAATGGTAGGTGTTAGGAAATCACCTTGTCTAAAATTTAGCACGTTAACAAAGTTTCGAATAGACTCGATTCTACCTTGACGTAGGGTACGCTCATCATCATTCTTCAGAGTCATACTAACTACACAGAGATACCGAGCTCAAATATTGCGCCGTTAACGTAACCCATTATAAAGCTATCAAAAACTGCTTTATAATTGACGGTAATTGTCGCTGTTATGTTTATAAGAGTTTTTTAAGATTTGTCGCAGTGTGAATATCTGGCTAAGGTGGATTGACCAGTACGAAAGCCATACTGTTAATATCTAATTAGTGAGCTGGCAAGTGGTTTCAGTCATTAACACAGTACAATTGAAAGAACCTTGTACGTGATAGGTGAGCAGCCCATCAATAAATTTATAATTCGGCACTACCATATTAAAAGAAATGGTCGCTTCATATTTATTTTTCTATACCTTCTCTTTGTCTTGCACATCCAAATGAATGCATGATTTGGATGATCAATGGTGGTCAAACATATAATTTGGTTTGTCTATTAATATTTCTGAAGTCTTGAATATTTTTTACTTAGAGAATTCTAAATTTAAAAAGTTTTGATAGTTACGTAAATCCAAGTAACCAAGTTCCAAGTTGAAAAAATATATACGAAAAACAACTCTGTTAATAGAAAATAATTATTTGCGTCAGATTGACTTGTATACAATCTAAATATATACATATATATAAGAAAATTTTTATAATGTCTGGCGTAGTAAAGTCTGATTCACGGATTAAGCCTGCGGTAGAGGTTATTGAAAAATGTGATAAGTTACGCTCTATAGTCGCTTCATTAAGCCAGAACATTAAGGCATATGAAGAAGAGAGTCATTTTTACTTTCAAAACCTGCTGAAACTGAAAGAAATTTGTCTTAAGTATGGCTTACAGAATAGACATGTTGTGAATATACTAAATATAGTTCTTGCTACTCCTTATCCAAATCATACTCCTGTTATAAAGTTTTGTTATAGGTATCGATTGCATATATAAATTATTTTTTATTTTGGTATATAACAGACTAATCCATAATAGCTGCATGGTGTCCAAAAACTTTTTCAAGGAAACCAAAAAGATGAAATCGGCTTTTGTGCTTTTCATTGTTAAGGAGGGTAATTATTTATGTTTTTTATTACATTAAAGAAAAAAATTATAATGATTAATAATTTTAGGTGTAGTTTCGAAGAATATTAAAATTGCGGACTAGAGAAGAGATGGATGTAAAACGTATACGTGGTGAAGAAATTCTGTGTGTTTATTGATAAAACTTTATATTTTGATGGATGATTTTTTCTTTAACGTGATAGATTTTTCTTGTTTGAAACTGATGTTAAAGATGTTATAATAAATGTATTTATACTTCTATATTATAATTTTTATTATTAAAACATATTGAAAGCATTAGTTTATAACCTTATGAGAATATTTGCTATCACAGAAAATAGTTGGAGGTACTTCATTCGTTATAATTAGCAAATCGTGTTTCTTATTACCGGTCGCTATGTATCTGGGAGATTCGTCATAGAAGAAGCCGAATAGAATAATAAAAGGCACAACCAACCGAGTTTTGATCAAAAACTTTTTTAAACGGATTGTCTTTCCAGATTTTAATCCAGAATAAAGAATGATTAGGTTAATTTAAAATATCCTGAAAGAAAATAGTTATATAGTTGCATAAGAGTTATATACTTGAATGGTAATAAAATGTAACATTTCTAATATAAGCTGAAAATAAGACTCCAGGGATTAACATAAACATAGAAGTGACTAAAACACTAAAAGAGTGAAAACCATGCTTTCAAATGAATCAAATCAAAACAATGCTGACAGTTTTTAACGATTCAAAGGTAAATTGTTAACAATGAATTCTTAATTGAGTCTAAAAGATCAGTTGGTAAACGCATAATAATATCTAGAAGTATATCTAGAATGGTACTTCCCACATTTCGACAATTTCAAATATGAATGGAATAAGAATGGAGCATCGTCTACCATACGCGATTAACATTCATTTTCCAAATCTGAAATTATTGAAGAAGACACTTCAACCAACATATTAAAGAAAACTTCTGTCGAAAAAATAGTGTAAAAACTATTTTGAAAAATTCTTTGATTACTTTTTAACACTCCGTTGGCTGAGAATGAATTTATTTTAATTTGAAATCAGAATAAAAAACTTTTCGTTTTATTATTATTGTAGTTATAATAAAAGTAACAACCACACCTGGAGATGTCGGAAAATACCCAATTGGCAATATGTAATAAAACGATATAAAATCTAAAATTTTTTAATTTTTTTATTTCTTGTACAACCTAAGACCATATTAACATAAACTAGAAAGATAAAATAGAAAATTATAATTTCCTTCTTTTTAGAGTAGTCTCGTCGAGAACTGGATTTATACACACCACCCATTCATTATTCATCAATGTTTTTTTATATAATTCAAAGTTAGTTGTATGCAAACTTCACAAATCTGTTTACAAATTTATACTTCATTAAGATAAGATCTTCATTCCTTCAATTTTTGGTCAATATAATCGAGTAAGTAAGATGGCCTAAAGACATTCGAAACACGTTTATATCATCTTCCCATTACCTTCATTAAGGCAATTTATTTGATTTAGGCCGCTAATGACGTTGATTAACCGTACAATGAGGTTCAGTGCTTTCTAACTTAGTTAAGAATAAATTAAATTAATAAAAGTTGAAGTTTAAACATATAAGTCAAATACGGCTTTGAGTCAGTTGACCAATGAATCGGTGTTTATTTTAAAGTTCAAATTTAGCAGAACGAGTTCAACCCTTGGTACTCTTTCTTAGCAGTCTCAAAAGTAAAGATTATTTACAGATAATTAAATATAAAAATTTTTCAAAGATCACTGATGATGGTTATTTGATAATACTGTGTATGTATACTCACCCAAAAATTCAATTAATTAAAATAACAAGAAAAAAATTGTTGTTGTAGTGCATTACTGTTCGAAACCGCAATATGTCTGATTAATATATTAATATTATAAAAACTGCACTTTTGTCATTTTATTTTTTTACATACATATTGTTAGGATCTGTGTCTAATCTGCTACAAATTTGATAAGTTGGCACTTTAACCAATTTGGCTTGACGAAAGTAATCTTACACTCTAATCAGTTACAAAAATCAAAAAAAAAAAAAATAAAAACAATATTACTGACCAGCTGTACTGACCAGGGCCACCCACGTCGGGAAGATCGTAAAGGAATATCGAAGCGAAACAAGATCTAGGCATTTCGGACATGCATCGGCTAGCATGCAGACGACACAATACATGCCAGAGTAAACTGTAAATCATGCCATTCCTGGATAGCGCCTGTTCATCGGATAGCTGTTTGCAGTCGAAGTTAACAGACTGTATTTTAGCGTGTAACTGCAAGCCGTGCAGGTACTTATACCTGCACGCTTCAGAGAGTAACTGCAAGCTTACCATGTTAGAGGGGGCTATGACACGGCAGACCTACCTTTCCTTCATAAACTCATATCCCAGAGGGAAGACACACCTTTAAAATTGATATTCCAGAAACGGCGTCCTTTTGATAATGCGCGACTCTCACATTTAAGCAGAAAGTAAGCCACCTGACAAATCTATGAATTTGACTATGTCGTTAATTTTAAAGAATGTCAACTCTGTTAGGTGAGTTAGGAAAAAGTCATCGTAGATTTTGAAGCTTTACCTATCCAAAAGTAGCTATTGAAAAATGAGTTAGAGTAAATAGAGTCCACCTCATCCGCAGCACCGCAGCCCTGACAAAATTCGTTACATAGACATGGTCTAGTCTTATTGCTACGAGTTGTACCAAATTTCGACAAATTCAAATTTATGCACTGATAATAATTTTCATCTACCCATGGTTTTCCTGCCGAAATATGTTTTATTGTCAGTTAATTTGTTTCTAGAATATTCAGAAAATCGAATATTGGAGAGTCACCTGCCTGTTATTGGAATCATGGGGTTGTATAAGTTCCATAACAGAAAGAGATTGTACTGAATCGCAGTTTTAATAGCGATAGAGGGAAGATGCATTGAGTTTGGAACGCTAGACTATATGGGAAAGTTATTGCATTGCATTTAATAAATGCGAATGATTATTTCATTCTTAAACAAAACTTAATTTTTTCACCAAAACTTATTTACTCATAGAGGTGTATTTATTTTTAAGGTATATATGGACTTTTGGAAGGTCCCTAATATTAGAAAAAAATTTATAATGATAATTTCTAAAACTAGTACGACATTTTCTTTTTGTAATAAAAACACACATTTCAGAAATAGTAAGTATTGGTGCAATGTATTTCAAGGTTTTCACATATTGCGAAAAAGTTTAAAAATAAAGATAAACACTTCAATTTCCTAAATTGATTCATATAGCACATAAAATAGTAACCAGAATGAAAACCACTTAAAAAACAATGTGTTGCCCAATGTCATCTGTAGTTTCTTGGCAGGATCGCTATTTAAAGCTCAAAATCAGTTCCTATAAATTTAAAAATATATAAATACCAAATGACAAAAATAAAATTTAATACTTACTTGGGTTATCATTTGACGACGGTTAATATTATTTGATAAAATAAATTTTATTTTTGGTACTTATTTAATCTATAAAAAATATAAGTAAAATAAGTGATAAGAAAAAAATATTTTAACATTTTTACCTGCTGTACCTGCAGAAGCCATTGCTTTTTAACTACTGTTTAGATTCTTGACCAGGAGCTTTGAAGCCAGCACTACCTACTTTTTCTAGCCCTTCGTACACTTTGTTGAGGATTTCAGGAATCTTATCATTTTCATTGTAATGCTCCCTGCAATAGTTTTCAATATTTATCAACTTTCTCTTAAACCTATCCTTTTCCACAGTAACAAGTTCTAAGTCCCGTTTAAGCATTGCCTTTTTTTTTGTCAAAGTATTAAATTGTTTCTGAATATCATCGTCCTTTGGTGGTGCTTTACCTTTCTGTGGAGTTTTTCCTGCCATCGTATAGACGCACTTTTGACACTTAGAAGAAATAAGAAAAGATTTTGTTGTTTCTTCAATGAAATTAATTTTTAGTTTTAATAAAAAATTTTTATCTAGCTCAATAGTTTGTTTGTCAAAATTTGATAAAAATTTCCAATGTTACTTATAAAAAATTTATTGTGAGATATAAAAACCGTGATTCCTTTTAAAATTTAACATCTAATTATATGGTGATTCTTTAAATCTGTCATATCGAAGATAACTTATCCATGATATCACAACGCTTACTCTTATATTGTATACAAGGTCAGTCTCAAGATTAGTCCTAAGCTAATGTAACAAAATCATTTATTTTCTATCCAAAAATAATAAGCACAACAGTACTAACTAACATTTTATTCTACTCTAAAAAGAACATACTTTAAGGAATAATGAAAAGTGACTCCATGACACTTCCCACGCTGAACAATAGGAATCTGTGATATATTAGAGTTAAATCACTGCTGTTGGTGTAACGACTGTTGTTAATGTCAGATGTCATTCTACTTTAATGCTTCAAGCCCCGCCTTAGTCGATATGTCCGGTACATATGTAAATGGAATAACTATTGAGTTAAGTTTGCAAATCCAACTTTATACATTAAATTATAAATAATTCAAATTACTATCTTATATTAATATATCTTATATAGAGCGGTTTTGAGTAGTAGTCTATACACAAGAATCAATAATATAAAATCATGCAAAATATAATTCGTTATTTTAACAATAAATATTAAAAATATAATTAATTTAATCAATTATTACATAGTTGGTTCATGATTTCGTTCTAATAGAACACAGCAAGTGAATTCGTTTAAACATACAAGTCAAGAAGGGATTTGAGTCAGTTGAGTAATGAACACCGACTTTGAAGTTCAAACTTGGCAGAACGATTTTAACCCTTGGTACGCTTTCTTGGCAGTCTCAAAAGTAAAGACTATTAATGAATAATTAAATATAAAAAATAATTTCAAGATCACTGATGATGGTTATTTGGTAATACTTTGTATATATGCTCACCCAAAATTTTGATCATTTAATAAAATAATAAAAAATTTTGTTATTGTAATAAACTTATACCAACGGAAACAATTAAGTCTTGATTTGATATACATATATAAATTGATTTTACTACAGTGGGAACATTAAATTACTTTTGTTGGTACACACCAGAGACCTGCAACAAATCGTATAAATGTTTTTCTCACGCATTACTTATATGCATTCATATCCCACCCAGAAATGATTCATAATTTTATTCGTTAACGAATACCGGTTCTAATGAATCAGTTTTACAAGAATGTGTACACATTTTTAACGAAAGTAGTAGAAATTGGAAATTACTCATGAATCATAGTATATACTCAAGTGAGTATGAATATACTCATCGACTGACTCGATTTACTTGTAGTATTCATAAAATATTGTGTGTGAGCGCTGTTGTTTGCTAAGTAAAAAATTTGTGTGTGTTAGTTTTATGTTTTTGGTGTGTGTGTTGTTGTGTTGTTTTGTTCTTAAATATTATGTGTGCATTAAATTAGGGGTTATTTTAGTAGAAAATTATGTGTACAGTTAGGCAAATTCTTGCCGACTGATGCTTTGTAAATAATTTACATCGTTTTTGTGTCAAATGTCTGTGTTTATGAGTTGCATATGAGCAGAATATACCTAAGTCATTATAAGTGCTATAGCTGTTTGTATAAATCCGGTGGAGTTAAATCATCGAAAAAGAGATTCAGAATGCATGTAAATAAAACACAATTAATGATTCGAGTGTGATTCGTTTGTTGACTACTCATTCCAATTCTTTGGCACTCACCCAACATTAAAAGTGCATAAAAATCACATAGATAACGCTATTATCGACATCCAAATGAAGAATAATAAAATGTTGGTACATATATTCCTAACAACTGATCTTGATTTTTATCGAAATGAGAAAAATTATGGTGTATTTAATAAAAACTTTTATAATTTTAAATAATAATAAAAATAAACGAATACACAATATCTAATTTTTGTAATTAATTTTGATTAATTCCCACTATTAGGAAAAGGGCATGAAATTGTCCATTAGGAAAAGTCCATATTTTGAATAGTCCATTATTTGAAAGTCGATATTCTGCAAAAAAATAAAACAATAATTATTATAATACCGGACACGACTTACCGGGCACGTTCATTTGCCAACTGATTGTAGTAAAGTCAGCTATTGTTTTTCTACTATGTTACACTATATGTCAACACAGCTGAGATACCGTTCTTTAAAGTGAAGCATTTTATATAGAAACTACCAGTTAATTGTATAATCAATGCAGTAATTACATACACTAATTGGCGCCAGATGGGGTGTGTAGTATTTTGAAGTAACCCGTAGTCAAATGAACGTGCCTGGTAAATCGAAATCGCTTCAATCAAGTAAGCAAAGGAATATTAACAACTATTGTTCACTTTTAACATAACTATAATATTAGCTAAAGAAGCGGGTCTCATATCGCACACGAAAAGTTTCATAGTTCATTAACAACGATAAAGTAACAACTTGAGTCAGTGTCCTTTAAAATCTTAAATCCAAAACAAAGAAAACAGTATACTGAAAAAAAAAATTTTTTAATTAAATGAAAATAATGAAAATGCTTTTCAATAAAAAGTACCAATTTATATTTAAGAATGAATAAAAGCTAATTGATATGTAATCGTTCCTAATACTTTGATGTATTATATAAACAACATATGGTATGACTTAATATTTCTAAAAGATGTTCTATGAATTGAATCAATTGAATCTTTGAAAATCATTCTAAAATTAGAAGTCTGCGAAAATAGTTCTTGACATTTTCCGCAGAATGTCAAGATGCCATCAGATATTTTTCAGACCTCATTGTATGTCAAAGGTTTATTTTTATATTAATAAATTAAATACATACCCAAAAAGAAATCCAAGCACTGAAAATATCCGTTTCGAATTTAATAGATATGGAATGCATAATTGGAGGGATCATCTATTATATATCGAACATGTCCATTAGCACTTTCTTATATGTTTTAAGGGACTCTCTTATTTAGTGGGCTGAGAATTTAATCAGACATCACAATTTGGAGGATGTTGATCGACTGAATTTTGTCTCTCACTTTGCATTTTACGGTACTGCTAACAAATATTATTGTAAATCGCAAAAATATTCAATATATATAGCAATAATTAAAAATGTTTATATATATATAACAAATATAAAAAAATTCAGTTTCTTACGTGAAAGAACTGCAAGCCAATGAACAGCGATGCGAAAAATACAAATATTAAATAAAGAATTATTGGTGTGGGTCCAGCATTATGTTTGTTTAAGTGCGGATCCATATTTTTTGAATTTAGGTTATTTCAATTTCAGAAATGACAAGAACAAAAAACTTTTAAATAATCTTTCCAAAATTTGTTCTTATCAAGACAAAGCAAATGTCTACTGAGTTTTATGTTAAATTATTCAACTTTCTAGAATTTATGCAATATGTTTACTATCATATTGCATATGGTTTTATATAGTAACAATGGTCTTAAACAGTCACCCTTGAAAATATAACGGAGCTAAATTGAAATTACTATCGTCTGATTTGAATCTCAATTACTAGAAATTATTTAAAGCAAGAAAGGTGATAAGGAAGATCTTGATGAGTGTTTAATGGGATCGCAAGAGTATCATTCATAAAGATTACTACAGTCTGATTCGTCTGAGACTCTATTACTAGAAATTGATTAAAGCAAGAAATTTAGCATAAAGAAACAGATAATAAGAATAAGTATTATATCTTGATAATTACACACATATTTGATGATTTAGCGAAAATTGAGAAACCTTGTCTGGGATACATCCATTATATAGTAATGATTTTTTGCACCATCATATATCTCCATTTACCCTTCGCTGGTATTAAACTGATCTCAAAAGTGTGATGTAAAAAGCATATACGTCTCTTTTTTTTAAGGTTTAAGAACTAGAAAATACACATTGAAAAAATAGTACCTCAATCGAAAGAATACCAGATCGTACGAGAAGTTTTGAGAATTTGTTTTGAGCTGGTTTATGAGTTTTGTAGCATGTAGTTATTTTCTTTGATATATTCGGTTAAGCAGTTTTTTGTCTTCCACAACGAAGACAACGACAATTTGAAATTCCATTAGTATCAATGGAATCTTCGTTATATCCACAAAAATGAGTGCATGGTATAACATTTGATAGGTAGTTGTGATAGGTACGTAGTTATTTAAAAAAATTGTTTTAAATGTGATGCAGATCTTTAATTTTGGTCACTACAGCAATGGTTTATTTTTGGCGTAAAATGAAGGATGCGGACATGGAAGGTATGACAATATATCAGGCAATATCTCTTGTTTTGCCTTTGTTGTGGAAAAAATTTCGTGGATGTTTGTCATCACTGGACCTGGTTTAGTATGATAATACAAATGATGATATTTTTGTGGTCAGTTCTCAAACTTTTGATGCTTTGTAAATGAACTTCTGTCGGTTTATGGGCCATGTCATTGAAAATATCCTTCGTATATCCTTATATATCTTTATCTGTCGTTTTATGGGCGATAAGTCATTGAAAATATCCTCAACCGTGCAAAATGTTTAAATAATATTGTGTTTCATACATAACAACAGGTTCCGGGCAATGCATATGTATAAAAATTTTATTGAAATCACAATCACAAATGTATTCGAATAATATTTACTTTTGCAAACACAATGTGTATAACCCTGTATAATGTTTATGCAACTTTCAACATTATTAAGACAATTTCAAATATTCAACTGTTAAGTAGAAAACAAATGAAATTTCAAATGATATATATATTTAAAGTATATTTAAACTTTATAAGTTAATTATAAGTATCTGCTTATATTTAGCAGCGCAAAAATCAAGGAATTGTAAAAAGCTTCTTAAGCTTTAATCAGAGACCGTAATACGGTCCTTGTTGGAGTCTTCTTTTATATATATGTGCACAATTATATGTGTATGAATATTTTAGCCTTAGCATATTTCGTAAAAAATTGCAGAAGAAGGAATTCAGGATGGAGAAGAAGTCCTTTTGGTGCTTAATATTGAAAGCACAGAACACAACTTTTTACGGGCATGTAACATACTCAATTATAGCTTTAAGTTCCTGAAAAAATGAGTTAGAACTATGCTAAGAAATTACAAATGCAATCTAATTTCAAATATATATTAAATATTATTGCTGACAAATAGAGCATCAACAGATCTCACAGTATTATACCGTGTTCCCACTGCAGTTAAATCAATTTATGTTGATTTATGTTAAAATTTCGTCGTTTCCTTTGTATAAGATGATTTATGCATATCAGAGAGCTTTTATGTTCCAGGAACTTTCTGTGAAAGTTCTAGGAGAGCTTTTGTTTGTTCATATTTCAGTTGATATCCAACTGCAATGAATCTTTTTGTTAAATAACATATGATAATGCATAATGATATCATACATATATTTGATATATAAACTTATTAATACACTCTTATAGATCAATTATATATAAAATCAAATATATTAATGGTATATTTTATTTATAAAAAACATATATTTTAAAAAAAATCGTTCGTTTTGTTTGGATGAGTTATTTATTTTTTCTTTATTAACAATTTTTTTAATATTTCAGTAAATTTTATGTCAAATTTCGTAAATATCCTTTTTGGGAAATATATTTTGCAATATTACATTCAATATATTTTTTGTAAAAAATAACTGTTTTAACGTTTTAACGAAAGCAATGGGAACATGGTATTATGGAGGAATTCCATAATAGCATGTATATATATATTATAAATTTATACTGTATTCAATTAACATCTTTCAGCAAACATATCTTTCGCCTTAAATAAGTTGATTTATTGATAATGAGCTAATTTGTATGAAAGCTAATTGTAAATTATAGTAGTTATAGTGAGTGAAATCGCCTAAATGAGACATTAAGGTCCAAAGTTCAACGTGATTACCTGCCGTGTAGACTTAACACCACGGTGCTCAAAAACACAATGTATTGATACGAAGCGTCAATCAGCGCCCCATTGGAATTACCTTCGTACATTCCGCCGGTATCAATGAAGATATTTGTGTAAGTCATATCTTCCATCTTGGTTAAATAAGAGGTCTGCCTCTGTTACAATTTGGGCTGTAGCACCCGGTGGTGTATACGCAACTTCACGTCGAATGTACTATAATATTTTTATTCTTCCCACGTAAGTTTGGGTTTCAACCATCAGCCACTACGAGGCCTACCTCAATGGTCAGTCCAGCCGAAGCTGTGCGCCACTGACCCATGTAGTACCAGATCGGATCCTCTCTGGTCAGATGTCGCGAATGCCGTGCTCACTCACTACCATTTGCACGTCTTACACAAGTGCCAGACTGACACTGGGGGATTTTAATTGCCTCTTACGACAGGCAATCCTAACCGCGGGAGTATTTTCCCCTTTTGCCCTCTCCGCAGGGAACCTAAATGAGACAGTATGAATGTCTTTATTTTTAAGTGAGTAAAAAAGTAGGAAAGGTCTGTATTGAAGTTGTTGCTAAAAGAGATGCTTGGAGTCGTATATTGAAGCAGGCTTTGACACACAAAGAGATATATAAGAATTATATTTTTAAAATACAATAATAATAACATTAGTGAATTAATATTGGATTGAGCTAACAATAATAAAATGAATATTGTTAAGTACTTATAATTGAATTTTATTTATTTATTTTTTTTTAGTAACATTACCAATGTTTACCTTACCTTATCTACCTTAAAACCAAGTAAAAAGAGGATTAAGATGTGATTTTCTTAATATAGTTTTTTTAAGTTTTCGTTTCATTTTTAGAAAAACATTACAATTTTTTTAAACTCATTTTAACTCATATAACAAAGTTTGGTAACTTTGCGAATAAAAAATTATTTGCCACTGTTGAGAGAGACTTTTTGTCCTTTTTGTCCCTTTGCGGAAGAAGGATATTTAAATGATGACGGGAAAGTCACACTAGCACAGATAGAGATTTGTCATTTTTATTCCATCTGCATATAAGAACTAATGTACATGAATATATATAAGTGAAAATTGGTATATGTATTTACACCTTTTTTTCTGTTGACATAGACAAAACTTTTCTTAAAGGAGTTGAAACTAATTTAAAACTTAAATTACAAAACTTGTGTGGAAAAAAATTTTTTTTAAGGGGCCAAAATATCTTCCTCAAATGTTAACATTAAAATGGCATAAAAAGTGAAATTGAAAAATTGCAGCAAAAAAGTTATAAATCGTGCTGAACACTTACGATAGTAAAAAAAATCTATGAAAAAAAATTTTCTTGAATTTTAAAAGTAAATATAATATACCTACACTTTTATTAAAAACGGTAAATATAAATCTATGTATCAGTAATATGACTTTATTCTCTTAAATAAGATCAGAGTGTGTGATTGCTTTAAGTGAGGTTGCACAAAGTCCAACAAAAATCCATTCAAACAAAACTTCAATCAAGAACTCACAATATAGGTATTGAAATTATTCCAGCTGAAGTCATCTAACAGTTTTTAGTCTAATAAAAATCCTCTTACTAGAATGTCTTGATCAGATTGTTCGAATTGCAATTGTAGTTCTTGGATATAAAAGGGATGACTTTAATGTTAATACACTTAAGCACAAAATAAAGTCATTAAAATATGTTTTCGGATTGATATACGTACATATATGAGGTTATGACTATTTTTTGATTATTCATACTGTGTGATATATTAAAAAAAAAATTTTGTCATGTATGCAAAAATAATAAAACTTATTGATTTAGAAAAACTGTATAATTATGATAGAAAAAAGATTACACAAAACTCTTTGAAATGGAATCATAAGCGGAAAACCAGAATGTATGTGCCATCTTCTCAAAATTCATTTCATGACTTGAAATATCAAATGGTTATACATCTTGTGATCTTGTCTTGGCAAGATTGTATGAGGATACACCATTTGGGTAACTATAAGAAATCTTAATATCATTCTTAAAAAAAAAAGATTGCATTAAAAAAGTATTAAAAAATCATTCATACATTTATATATTAAAAATTACATATTCACTTATGATATGTTCATGACTAATATATATCAAACAGCCTTCGTTTTAACAAAAGATATCCATTTATATATGGTATTATCTAATAAAAGTATTTATTAATATTAATATATTTAATATTAATACAAATATATTAATTAATATCACAATTAATAATATTAAATATAATATTTAATAATAAATATTAAAAAATATTTAATAAAGGGTTTTTCGAATAGCAGTGAACTACAAGCAACAAAAATTCATATTTTTTTTATTTTATTTT